GGGGAATAAAGAACAAATGCGGATTCAGAATAAAAGGAATGTTGAAATAAAAGTGCAAAATTTAGACTTCTTATGTCGGGATCATCAGTCCACTGCTTCACCTCGTCTCATACACAGACATACAAAGACAGACGAACACCTAGAGAAACACAAACACACTAAAATACACCAACATGTGCACACAAAGATTCAGGGCACATAAACAATGTATATAGATATATATGTAATTTTTTCAGTAACTTTTTCTGAGCAGATTGAGGCAAGGAAGAAGACAGCTGTCTGGGACACTTCACGCTAGACATGTAAATATCATAAGAGAAATTGTGCTTCTTTGTAGTTTGTCCGGTCTGTAAGTGTTACATTATCACAGTCCCTGAACCTTCAAGTGCCAAGCATGAGAGATGACCTTGACAAAAGCACAGATGAATCAGCTTGAACTGACAGGGGCCTGGTTTTTAGCAAAAACCCTTGTTTAATTTTTTTTTAATAGTAGAGGGTTTTACGGCGTTCGCAACTGCATAAGGTCATATGAGCGCCAAGGGGTGGGTGTCAACAGAGAAGTCCTTACAGGGAATCAGACTTACTCTGCTCACCTCTCCAGCTTCAACAGCACAAGGTCTGCTTCGACCATCAAGGCACCCCGGAAATAGCAGATCACAAGAGTGACAAACATACCAAAAAAAAGTAGAGGAAAATGACAATAGTAAGGATAAGGAAAGAAAAAGCAGCAGTTCCCTGTTGCAGATCAGGCACAGTTATGAACGTGACATGATGAATTAGCCCATTTACAATTCTACTGTGCTTGAACGAGAAATGTCCCCCCTTTGGGAATGGCCTAAAGACACTACATTCAGTGGCACTGTCCCAGGGGGTTGTTTAAATTTGAAGATAGAGGATTTGCTCTAGTAATAGAAGCACATTGGCACAATAAAGCGTATCTAGTGCTGGGAAAAACAAGACAGACAAATAGAAACTACAAAGTGGAAGACAAACATATGACCTACGAATGACACCCTTGAACAATTATCATAGTAATAACAAAGAAGAAAAAGAAGGAACAGACCACATGGCAGAGCTCACAAACCAGTAAAAGAAGAAAAAGACTGAAAAAATTCACCAGATATGTTTGCTCTTGGTTGTAGCTGGTCACTTTAGCTTTAGCAAAATTGTTTAATAGGTTGCTGTTATATAACAGTATTTGAAGATCAAATATCCAAACCTTTACTATAGGTGTCAATACACCCCTATTGACATAATTTAAATCATTCTGAAGGCGGGCTTTGACCCTGCCTGTCAAGACCAACCCAGGTATAGAGAGAGGCATAATACCTAAGCAGAAAAACTGCAATACTTGATAAAAATTCTCTCTATGTGGGAGCCGAACTTGGGTCTTCTGTGCAACGGTGAGAGCCTAACCGCTACACCCAGATGCCAGTGTTCTAAACCTATTAGAAGTGAAGTGGAACAAATTACTGCAGTAAAACAAAACCCCATTTTGTTTTCTCAGAGTGGACACAAAAATCCTTCAATAAACTCTTCCAACTTCAGTTGTTACACATGGTCGGAAGAAAAGAGAAGACAGAAACACAGAAGTAAAAAAAGAATAACAAGGAAGTAGAACCTACGAGTGTTGTCCTCTAACCACTTACGACACAGCTAGTTTCTACACTATTTTTTTTAATGAAGAGGACCATCAACAAAACCATTCCCATCATTTTATAAAAGCAATTGGATGCTACGAGTTTTCACAGAAAGACCTTTTTGTCTCAACAGACACATAAAACGTTTCTCTGAATAGGTTCCCTGTCCACCCTGCACTCTCTGGACAAGCTTCCTGCAAAACCTCACCCCATTTCCTGTTTCCAGAAGCCACCAGTACGATACAAAAACAGCTCGGGGTACGCTGCCAGGACCTAGGGTCAGCAGGTCACTGGTCGGCTCAGACAACAATTTCGCACAATGAGGCCGATTTTACTCTCCGGACCCACAAATCTCATGTACCAATACCCAACAAAATCCCACCCCAAAAATAAACAAAGGGCCAGACGAGCCACCGCCAGGAATGTTGGGAATCCCATTATCTCATTCTGATTACATTATGCGAGAAATGTCGAATCATGGGAACGGAACTGGATGATGACACTGGAGAAATAACTCCCTAATTGGAACAGCTTATTGACAATCTGCATTTAATGTTAATTGTGACTTATCTATGACTTTGGTAACACACAACCGACAAAAGTTAACTAGATCTGTGAAAACAAGGAGAATCAGATGCCAGAGCGGCAAGGCTCCCGCCATCAGACATGGGCAATACTCACTTCCGATAGTTCTTGGCAGCATCGGTATCCATAGTGTTTACAACCATAAGAGCGGCTGGTGGGGCAGCTTTGGGGGCGGGTGGGAGGTATAAATGAGTCCTGGAAGGGAATAACGAACAACTCCACGAGTAATCACAGCACAGAACCGAAGGCGAGAAAAGATCACTGCTAGATCTAGTCAACTCCAGAAAAAGCGCTCGGCACTAGTGACGCATACTCTCCGTCCTAGTCTGCCCCGAACTCACGCAGAGAAGGCGAAACGGAGAGAACTGTGAGAACTGCTAGACAGCCGTATTGATCTTGCACGGCAGAGAACGCCCTCTCGCGATCACAAGACGCTAACCACATCTATGAAGTCAGAGAAATCAAGCATTTCTGTGAACATGTGGGTTGATCCACAAAAGCTTCACAACAAAGTCCAGAGGTCTATCTGGGTACCCAAGACCGGACGTAGGCGCGGGCCACAAACAAGAGACGATTATCACCGTGGAGACGTCACTCACAGAATCCTAGAAATACCAGGAGAGTGACGTGCTGGAAATAGTCGCCTGAGCGGCATTTGGATAAATTATGCTGCCATTACGCCACACTCGGCTTAGCCTCCTCAGTCCCCTCCGAGAATGGACTTGCCCGACATGTCGTGTGCCGGGAGAGAGGGGAAGCGGCGGAGAGAGAGGGGGAGAGAGAGGGAGAGGGAGAGTCCCGGGGCAGCAGCACACGCGCACGCTTCAGCAGAGAGCACAGGCTGGCGAGCCAGGACACACTCCGCGGTGACGGGGACAAAATGACAAGCACGGCATAGGCTGAGTCGCCTGGACACGATCTTTTTTTTTTCTTCTTTTTTTTTTTTGGCGGAGGGGGAGATAGAAAGAGGGAGACTGCTCGGTCGATTCCTCAACGTATTGTTTACATTTTGAAGAAGCGCATCGATACAACACATGCAGCCTCTTACAGCGATGGGAGGGTAAAAATAACCAGGCGAAATGCAAGATGAAGAAATCAGTAAAATACCAGGTTCTGGGATCGATTATGGCGGTATTATCATAATGCACAAAAATAATAACACTGAACGCGTAAAATTGTCATAGTAGAAGTTTTACGTCTCTGTCGGCACTACTAAACATGTGATGGAGATGTAATATAATGTGGTGGGGTGTGGTGTGGTTTTGTGTGGTATGGTGTGCTTTTATTTTTGTTTTGTTTTTGTGGTGTGGTGTGGCAAGGGTTCAACATCCAAATATTACCCCTAAAAATGTGGAACTTCCGACCTGACATCGATCGTGACAGGACCGAGCCAAGTGGGTCAATAACGACGAAAACTTGTTAAAATCAAAAGTTCAAGAAAGAACCATTCATGAGGACTCGAACCAGATCTACCCCTCCCCCACTCCCCCCATCCCCATCTATGATATGTTACATACTGGAATAACAGGCAGATCTAACAAGGCATGATATAAGAAAGCTATCGGTACAGACAAAAAACTTGTGCAATTACATCAAACAGCGGTTACATCAACAGACAGAAGGCTTCAAAGCTGTTTGACAACTTCATCTGTAGGAGATGCATATATACCCTTACCGTGATTTACCCAGATAAAAATACCAAGAGTAAACATTGTCCCAAACACTTCACCCCAGCCCCTTTAGTACATACGCAGAGAGAGAGAGAGAGAGAGAGAGAGAGAGAGAGAGAGAGAGAGAGAGAGAGAGAGAGAGAGAAAGTTTGTGGAGGCGGGGTAGGGGGGAGGGGAGGGAGTATGGGGGAAGGAAGGGTGGGAAGGAACTGGTGAGGGACGAGGAGGAGGAGGAGGAGGAGGAGGAGGAGGAGGAGGAGGAGGAGGAGGAGGAGGAGGGGAGAGAGAGACAAACACAGACAGAGAGAAAGAGAGAGAAACCAAACTTTATATATAATTCAAGACGATATACAAAGCAGATATTTTGCTTTGGCTTCGTGGTGGACATCAAGCAGAGAAAACAAAGGCAACTCTACTGTTCCTTCATCTTACCACTTGGCTTTTACGCCGAACTCCCGGGGACACTAGAACACTGAGATACACAAGTTGATTCAACATGTTTTCCTATCATTTATGAGACAGGTGCTTCAACCCTTCCTGGCACGGCCGACCCTTGCTGATTTATTTGTATAAAAAGAAGCACATCGACACAATCATCGTCATTAAGTGGCGGGTAAAAGTAAAACAGACGGGCAGAAACAATAGATGGAAAGTAAAGAAGTAGGACCTACCAGTGGCTCCCTCCAATCCCTCGCTCACATGGGCTGAGTGGGAAGGTGAATTAGGAAGTAAAACGGAAAGTATAAATAGTCTAAGACATATCTTCCTAATGTAGGAATTAAACTCACGGGTTTTTTTCGTACGAGGCGGCGAGCACAAGTGCTACAGCACAAATGCCTATATGCACACAGAGCAAAGGGAACAGCAAGTATAGCACACGTATGTCGTCTTCATGTTCCTCTGTATGTAAAAAGAGAAAGAACCGAACAGTTCTATATATCACCTTCCTTTCTATTAGTACTTATTTACGAGCGCTGTGACAATTAGGATCTTGCACATTTGCTGGGTCAGTGCGGAATGCAGAGGATCGATATGAATAATGGGGGCACGCGCTCTGACCACGCATACAATTCGGTAAATTGTTGGGTTGGTTGCTTGGTTTTTTTTTACTCAGGTGACGTGGATGCGTTTTGTCGGCGAGAAGCGATGTGTCATAACGTCGATGTGTCATAATGCAGAAGAACAACCAAAAACAGTATCAGATAGACACAGAAAAAGCCCGGTCAGAGACCTTTATGAATAATCAAAGTACCCGAGTAAAAATGCCAATCCCAGTCAACAGTATTCACCGATTTTAACCTAAGATCCCCCTCTCAAAGTATCGTCTCAAGGGATGGCATAGGTTGTATACGACTTATACTCTTACAGGAAGGTACATGCTGCTCTACAATGGTCATTCAATTCTCTCAGGTCACAATACACTAGTTCCTTTCTCATGTCCACCCACGGCATTCGTCATTCGTTTTGTTAGGTTTGTTGGGAGACCAAATCAGATGGTCATCTAAAAATGCCTTCCTCGTGACCCTCAACCTTGCATCCTTTAGGATTAGGAGGAACAATGGTGCATGTATAAACATTTCAAGGTTCGGGGGGGGGGGGGATACATCAACATATTTCGCATTATTTACAGAGTCAAATTACCAGGGATTTGAACTAGAGACAAAAAATACAAATTCTGCCCCGATGTCTTAAGGTTTGCTTTATAGCTGCTGAATCACAGGGGGCATGCCAAGTGGCGACAAATCACAAACTATAAAGTCGCACACTCATATTCCCCAACCGTTTTTGACTCACTCAAGGGGGCAAAGGCCTCACGAGCATAACAACGGCTAAATTCGGGGCGCATAGAGCACAGAGGCAGAGGCAGCTTCCTCGATCGATGGCACGCGACACACACGCACGCACGCACGCACGAACACACACACACAGATGAGAGAGTGAGCAAGCTCGCGCGTCGCCAAGTCGATGAGCGTGGGCCGTCCGCTGGTTTGTCCGCAGCTAGGAGTGGAGGAGAGAGAGAGAAAGAGACTAGCGGTCGATACACTGATCCATGATTCATAAGGCTGCGTAAACAGATGCTGCTGCTGGCCCACAATATGGAACACACTCTGGCCCACTAAAGATACATCAAACACAAGGAAAAAGACGGGGGGGGGGAGGTGTCCCCTAAAACATCGGAGACAAAAAACACAAGAGGGTATAGATTTAGTGTTAGAGTTTTATGGCACTTGCAAAGGAACTACTACATTTGAGTGACGAAGACTAGAGGTGTTCCTTGAGAGTAGGTTAATAAATGGAACCCCCCCCCCCCCTCCCCCAACCCCATGTATTCGAATTCATAAAAATTCTAGACTTTTGCCGTTATCATACAACGTAGACATTAAAACTACAAATTACCAGCTGTGAGAAATACTTCGGCTAGATTGTTTTTAAAGACGTATTTGGTAAACCCTGCACTAAAAGAATAAAAGAAATGCAACAAGCAGAGAGAGAGAGAAACATGAGAGGGAACAGAATGACAGAAGCCACCAATAATAAATGGCACACTCCCGTTTCCTCAAAAACTGTTCACGCCCCCACCCATCCAAACTCTTCTCTAAGAGAGAGAGAGAGAGAGAGAGAGAGAGAGAGAGAGAGAGAGAGAGAGAGAGAGAGAGAGAGAGAGAGAAAGAGAGAGAGAGAGAGAGAGAGAGAGAGAGAGAGAGAGAGAGAAGAGAGGTGGGAGGGGGGTGGGCATGACAGTACCGAGCTCGAAAAAGACGGTCCTAACAAAGTGGCTTATACAGGAGGAGCAGAGTCAAAACAGTCATTGTGTTGACATTAGTTGGGTTTACATAAAGACAAGAACATCGACGCAATAACGGCCACATAGTGCAAGGAAGAAACAAGATAGATAGACAGAAACGAAGTAATAAGACCTGCCAGTGGCACCAAAGACTCTCTACTCATCATCGTCCAGTGCTAGATCTGCGACAGACATCGGCGATCATGGTTCTCCATTCATTCCTTTGCTCGAATGCTCTCAAAAAAAGCTACGTCTCCCTGATCTTTCCCTGTTACCCATTTGTTTAGGTTCCGTAAGTATGTTGTTCTTGGCCTACCCCTGCCTCGCTTGCCCTCAATTTTGCCGTGAGAGCTAGATGTTCAAAACCCTTATGTCTATTTAGGTGTCCCAAAAACTGCATTTGTCGTTTCCTGATTGTTTTTAACATTGAGCGTCCCTCGTGGGCTTCATCAAGCACTACCTCATTTGATTTCTTTTCCTTCCACGATACTCTTAGCAGTCTAAGAAACCACATTTCTGTTGCTTTTATTTTATTTTCACTGTCTTAGTGATTGTCCAGCATTCACAGCCATTTAGAAGGGTGGAACAAACGACTAGTAGTAGAGAATCTTTGATGGTACCCTCCAACCACTCGCTAGTATTAAAAATAGAGCGTGCCGTGGAAACAACCGGTGCTACCCGGGGACCTGTGCTCGCGGTGTGGCAGCGACAGGTGGGCGCGTCCATCTGGCGGTTAGTTCTAGTTTTTGTAAGAATTTTACAGCACTTGCAAAACAATAAGGTCATATTATATGTGCTGAAGATTCGACGTGTGACAAGAAGGTAACAAACACAAACACGAAACGGGAGAGATGAGAACGATAATATGTATGTTTGACAGAAAACAAGGGAGCAAACCACACCACAGCACCTGCCAACCACCAGCTCCATCTGGCGCGCCACCCCTTCGAACTGACGGCAGTGACAGCACAACAGGTGGCTGGCTCCACCTGGGCCACCCCTTTTAGCTTTAGTTGAACTGGCGAGACCATCGCACAAGGGCCAAAAAGCCCGGCAGCTGGTGTTTTACGTGACTTTAAAAAGCTCAATACCGAGGGTGACAAGCTGCAGACAATCCCAACAAAATTAATTACTCTAAATAACGAATAAAAGTCTGCAAAAATACATTTTAGACAAATGAAAATGGTGTCACGAGGTGAATAGTGAGGCATGCCTGACGTCATACATAGGTAA